TGATATTACTTACATTCTTCAGTGATTTCCACATCCCGTTGGGTCCATCGATCTTTGGAATGGGCACAAAAGTGGATCTCTTCCAATTGGCTGACCAGATAGCTGTCTTCCAAATTTCTTAGGCTAGATGAGTGAGCACGTCCAGCACTGCATCCGTTTGTTAAAACAGCTCTGTTTGCATGCTGTCAACTTCGGAGCCTTGTTTTTGCCTGATGCAATACGTGATTTGATTTGTTTCTACCTTCAGTGCAGCTTGGACTTCTTCCTTCAATACTACTGGTTCTTGATCACATGCTACCTCTTGAAGTGACTGATAATCAACTAATTCTTTTTAGTAAAGGATTTTTTGTGGATTCCTTCCATCTTTTTCTGTTACTTCCTTTATCATTCAATATTTTAGCCATAGAATCCTTTCATATAATATTGCAAGTCAAGGCGTGAATTCTTCCTTTAGTTCTTTCAGCTTGAGAAGTACTGAGTATGTTCTACCCTTTTGATTTTCTGACTCTAGATCTTTGTACATTTTATTGTCATACTTTCGTTGTTGATGATGAACAACTTAAATAAAATGGGAAAATTCCTAGTAAGAAACAAACTACCAAAACGGATTCAAGAAGAAATAGATCATCTGAATAGATTTAAAATAAGTAAAGAAATTGAATTGATAATAATAGGTTTTTTAAAAAATATCTACAAAGAAAATTCCAGATCCTGGTGACTTCACCAATCATTTAAAGAAGAATTCATAACAAGTCTTCAAACTTTCTTCCCCCAAAATAGGAGAGGGGGACTATTCTCCAACTCAATCTATGAAACCAGCATTACTCAGATACCAAAACCAGACAGATATTATCAGGAAAAAAAATAACACACAGACCAATAGCTCTTCTGAGTATAGATAGAAAAATCCTCAACAAAATCCAAGCTAGTCAGACCCAGTTACAGATTTCAAAATGTCACACACCATGATCAAGTGGGACTTTTGTCAGGCTGCAAGATTGGTTCAACAGCCAAAACCCAGTTAATGTAACACGTCACAGCAATAGAATGAAATATAAAAACCACACGACCATCATAATAGACACTGAGAAAGCATCTGACAAAACCTAACATGTAAACAACATTCTTATCAACAGAGAAAAGATTGAAGTTGTCAAGGACTTCATTCTTCTTGGATCAACTATCAACACTCATGGAAGCATTAGTCAAGCAATCAAACGACGTATTGCATTAGGCAAATCTGCTGCACAAGATCTTTTTAAAGTGTTGAAGAGCGAAGATGTCAGCTTGAGGACTAAAGTGTGCCTGACCCAAGCCATGGTATTTTCAATAACTTCATATGTATGTGAAAGCTGGACAGTTGAATAAGGAAGACCTTAGCAGAATTGAAGCCTTTGAGTTATGGTGTTGGAGGAGAATACTGAAAGTGCCATGGGCTGCCAAAAGAACCAATAGATCTGTTTTGGAAGAAGTGTAGCCAGAGTGCTCCTTGGAGGCCAGGATGGCCAAACTTCGTCTCTCATACTTTGGACATATTGTCAGGAGGGACCAGTCACTGGAGAAGGCTATCATGTTTGGTAAGATGGAGGGTCAGAGAAAAAGAGGAAGACCCTCTACGAGATGGATTGGCCAAGTAGCAGCATCGATGGACTCAAGCGTGGCAACAGTAGTCAGGTTGACCCAGGATCGGGCAGTGTTTCATTCTGCTGTGCATAAGGTCGCTATGGGTCAGTACCGACTCAATGGCACCTAACAATAACACACTTTTATGATTAAAACAAAAAACAAAAAACACACTCAACAAATAAGGAATGATAAGATCTTCCTCAACCTAATACACAACATCTACCAAAACCGCCAACTTTGTGAACTTTGTGGTTCAAACTCACTTTGCAGGCCAGCACAGTAACCCACAGCGCCACTTATTGGTTAAAACCTGGATCCTTTCCATGAACTTTCTGACGCTCCCTCATGTATTCTGCAAACACAGTGTTGATGAAACAAATTAGAGCTAAACACATGGAAAAATATGCCATGTTCAAGGATCAGAACACTTAGTATGACTAAGATGATAACATGAGGGGGCTTCAAAAAGTATGTAGACTCTAGACCCAGAGTGGGAGAGGAGCTGTGTGCTGACAACCAGGGGGCAGGCTGGTTGATGATGCATGGAGGGGATTGTAACCATGGCAATGAAACAATATACGATAGGATGAATGTAAAGCTAAAGTTCTCCCATATAAACTATCACATAATTCACAATAAAACATTAAAAAAAAAAAAAAAAAAGCATGTAGAAAACTGGAATTAAAACTGATCTACAAATTCAAGGCAATCCTTATCAGAACCCCAGCTGACTTCTTGGTAGAGATGAGCAAACTGATACTAAAATTCATATGGAATTGCAAGGTACACAGAACAGTGAAAATAAAATCTGAAAGGAAGAACAAGTTAGGAGGACTCATGTGAATTTCAACACCCACTGCAAAGCAACAGTAATCAAATGGTGCAGTCCAGGCAAATGAACATACACACCAGTGGAAGAACTGAGGGTCTAGAAAGAAATCCACTCATCAGTGGTCAACTGATTTTTGACAAGGGTACCAAAGACCATGCAATGGAGAAAGAAAGTCTTTTTAGCAAATGATGCTGGAACAACTGAATATCTACATGCAAAAGAATGAAACTGGATGAATACTTCACACCATATAAAAAAAACAGACCAAAGACCTAGACGTAAACATTCAAACTACAGAACTCTTAAAAGATGAAAGAAAAGAAACACATTAGAAGGTCATGGATTGGGTGGGAGAAAATGTGGACTAAAATTCAGACTCATAAATAGGCCAGCTTTACTGGTCTGATGGAGACTGTTGGACACTGAGACTATGGCCCATGATTACTCTTCAGGTCCAGAAATGAATTCACCCCTAGAGCACAATTTTCAGCCAAGCAATAAGGTACAGAGAGGGACATCAATGCCAGTGAGGTACACACACCATATAACAGTCCATTCAAAATCAAAATGACAGCATTTACCCAATGTCAGAATTCAGAAGGACTGGGAAAGAAGGAGGAATGGAAATGACAAACACAAGGAAGAATTGGAATAAATTCCATAGAGGGAACTGCAAATGAGATGAAACCAAGCGTAGGATTCGTTGAATGTAAAACTGATGATCTGCTCTGTAAACCTTCACTCAACGCACGAGAAAAAGTGAAAAACAAACACCCTTTGAGTGTACATAGGGGTAATTATCTTCACAACCTTGGATTGTTTGTTAGCTATGCTACCAAACGTACAAGCAACAAGATAAATTGGACTTCATTAAAACTAAAAACATCTGTGCTTTAAAGAACATCATCAAGAAAGTGAAAAGAGACAACTTCTAGAATGGGAGAAAATAACTGCAAATCATACGCCTGAAAAGGTACTTGTATTTAGAATATAAAGAACTCTTACAAGCAATAATAAAAAGACACATCATAATAATAATCCAATTTTAAAGATGGGCACAGGATCTTAACAGACATCTCTCCAAGGAAGATATTTGTATATCTATTAAGTGCAGGAAAATGCTAATTATAAGCACATGAAAAGATGCTTCACATAATTAGCCATCTGGGAACTACAAATCAAAACTACCTCTTCATACTTCCTCAGATGGCTAGAATCAAAGTTGAATAACTGTGTCAGCAAGGATGTGGAGAAACAAGATTCCTTGAGTGGCTGTTGGAAACGTAAAATGGTGCACCCGCTTTATAAAACCATCTGGTAGTTTCTCAAATGACTATATGTTGTGCATGTTAAAGGTCATCGAGACCTGGTATAGAGTTTCTGAGGAGCAGCCAGCTGGTGGATTTGAACTTCCAGCCTTGCAGTTAAAGAGTCCAGTGCTTATCCTATAGAACCACACCAGGATTTATATATGAGCCAACAATTCTACTCCGAGGTATCTACTCAAGTGAAATGAAAATACATATCAACATAAAAACTGGTATATGAATGTTTACAGCAGCATTATTAATAACAGTCACAGGTGGAAACAAGCCCAAGGTCCATCAACTGGGTATACAAAATGTATTTTAGTCATACAGTGGAATGTGATTCAGACACCAAAAAGAAATACTGATCCATTCTTAACATAGATGAATCAACACTATGCTAAGTGAAAGAAGCCAGTATAGTGGTCACAAGATGTACGATTCCACTTACAGGAAATGTCCAGGTCAGGGAAATTTCTAGAGACAGAAAGTATACCAGTGGTTGCCCAGGCCTGGGGAGTAATGGTGGCATAAGGGGGTGATGACTCAAGGCTTTATTTTTGAGGTGATGATAGCTCTCGAATTGCGGTGATGGTTTTTCAACTTATCTATGGATATACTTACTGGGTCTATTCAAGACTGCCAGACCGCACAATTCAAATGGGTGAGTTATATGGTAATGTAACGATACCCCAATAAAACTGTTCTTAGAGAAATGGTACCTTTGCCAGAGGATCAGATTCCCAGTTTCCAGAAAGACTCAGCCCCAAGCACAAGCTTACTAAGGGATCAGCCGCACTAACCCATAGCCAAAACTCTTGTTACGAGAAAACACATGAGGTCAGAGATCAAGAAACTCTGTCCTACTCATTCCCTACAAACACAGGCACAGGGCGGGGGTGGGGGGAGCAGGGGCCCAGACGCCCGACCTCCCACAGGCAATTTGGGTGAAACCCCTGGCCTGTGGTGACCCCCTCCCACCTGAGCAGTCTGCCCTGGTCACTGGAGGCCCCTGCCACCTGCCCCGTCTCACCCACGGTGGCCAGGCCCCGGCTGACCTCTCGAAGGCCACATTGCGAGTGTCCAGGTGGGTGGAGACGATAGGAGAGGTGAGACGACTGGCCACATGCTCCTCGCTGGGCCTCATGGCAGCCAGCAACACTTCTGGCTCGTGCATGGTGAGCCCCAGCGTCTCGGTGTGGACCACCTGTCGGTCGTGATCCACCTCCATCACCAGAGCTTCGGCCTCTGCCAATCAGCAAGGGTAGGATGGCGTATACAAGTTAGTGCAAGGCTTCAACCAGAGGGGAGAGGACCCTCAGTCCTGGGCTCCCCTCCAGTCCTGTTGTGTTACTACATCTGGGAAGTAGAGAGAAAGACTGCGTCATCCTCGAAAGCCAAGAGGGCCCCCCGGCTCACCTTGACCCTTGAAGATGAAGCTCCTCCGGCCACGTTGCCACGTCATGTGCTCGAAGCCCAGGAGGCTGGTATCAACCCGCAGGCTCTCGCCACGCTTCCACACACGGTACACATCACTGGGGCACATCTTGGACACGAGGGGCACTGCAGGGATGCCGAGGTCACCCTGACTCCTCCTGAAAGCCCACCCCAAGCCCCTGGAGCCAGGTGGTCCCACTCACCCCAGCTTGTAAACTCCCACTTCATCTCCACGTAGAAATCGGGGGCCTAAGAGGGACCAGAGCTGCTGTCAGGGTCTCTCTTGATGTTGGAGGCCCACAGGTCTTGTCCAAGACCCCTCTCCAAGAGCCCAGCCCTCATATGGCCCGGATGCACCACCCTGCCCCCAATCAACAGTGGGACCAAGTGGGGGGCCCTGAGAGGCTCTTTGGGGATCAGGCTATAGCATCTGGAGCTCTGGGGTCCTGAAGGGCCACTAGCATGCTGGGGATCCTGAGGGGATGCTCCTCTGGGTCTCAGAGTCCCTTTCTGCAGATGGGGCCCAATGACTCCCACATCTGTTCCTGGGGAGAGGGCATGGGGATCACCTTGGACTCCACTAGCATAACCCCTCTACCTACTTGGATCTGCCTTCCATGAGCCCAGTACACACCCGCTGAGGTGACCTGGAGTGCTCTCTCCAGAGATTCGGGATTTACCAGGTAGCCCGAGGCCAGAACTCCAGCCAGGGGACCCTGTACACTAGCCAAGGTTTTTCTTCCAATGAGACACTGGGTTAAACGTCAAGAGAGGCAGGAAAGCCAAGTCTGCCATACACAAATGATCCCTTACAGGCCACACTTCTGAGCCCGCTGTACCTGGCGGAGTTTGTTGAGCAATTCCGGAATGCCGGCCAGCCTCTGTGTGGCCCGCTGGTAGTCTCGATACTGAAGCACCAGCTGTACCATTTCAGGGTCCCCAGTGCTGACAGCCTCCTGCAGGACTAGGGGGCAGCAAGCTGCTGGGGGCCCTCTCAACAGGCCCCCCGCCTCCCCCCACCCCTCGCCTGGCAGCTCACTCCCATCCCACACCCCCTGCTGCCAGTCCCCCAAGGAGCCCTTGGTTTTCTGCAGTACCTGCCCAACCTTGGAGGCTTTCTCTGCCCACGTTGGCATTGTGTTGAAGAAGGACTCTTACAGACTCCAGGTTCCCCAGGGACACAGCCAGCTCCAGTGGGGTCCGCCCCCGGGGGTCTTCCTGCTCAATATCGTGCTGTGAGAGACGGGACACACAGCAATGTAAGAGAGGAAGGAGAAGAAAACACTGGACCACACAGGGTTAGGGGCACTGCGGGAAATGGCTAAGAAGAGGGAGGTGGGAGGGGCCTACACGCCTCTCGGGCCCTCTACCAGGGGTGAGGTCCTAGCCGGTGTAGGTGCAGAATGGCACCAACTAGGACCGGGTTTCTTGTTTGCCAGCCTAGCTGGAGGAGGACGCTTGGTGCAGTGGGAGGTGGACAGGCGAAGGGGGAAGGCCTGGCCTGGGAGCCAAAGCCAGAGGCTCCAGCGTACTGGGCAGGTGATGTGGGATTCGGCGAGCTAGGAAGCTGGGCTGTAGCTGTTCAGCTGCCGGATCAGGAGGCCTTGGGGACTGGGGTCGAGGCTTCGGGCTGGAGACCCAAAGGACGGGCGGGGGCCCGGCGGGCCTCACCTGGCAGCTGTACAGCGCGGCCTCCAGTTCACGGTGCCGGTTCGCCCAGACGAGTCGGTGCAGCGGGAAGGTGGGGCCCGGGCCGGCCATGCTGGCATCAGCGCCGCATCGCGGGCGGGGGCGGCCCCGCCTCGCTCCTGGCCTGCCGTGGCCCCTCGCGTCTCCCGGAGCTTGCCGAGCTGCGCCCCCAGCGGCCCCGCGGCCCCAGCGCCAACAGCAACGGAGGCGGGGTCGGAGGCGGGGTCTGGTCGGCTTGGGTGGAACCAAGAGCCATGCACCCCGTCCCCCTGCAGCCATGGCAACCGCTGGTGAGCCGGAGGGCACCGGATCCCACACGGGGTGCAGGCTGGCCGCTGGGGAAGGCCTTGGGCTGGGGTCTTCTCACCGGCCAAGAGTTGTTTCACGATGGTGGTGTTGGGGGGGGGGCGGTGGTGTGGGGGCAGGGCCTGACTGCAGTTCCGCCCGTAGCCTGCAGGGGGCACTAAGGCCCAGCACAGAATCCCCGCTCCTGGCGGTCCGGAAGGGGAAGGCGGGGACTCGGTGGACTAGTCGAACAGGGGTAGGGGCCGGGAAGCGCCCATTCTCCCCTTCCCCCGCCCGTGATGTGCACCACGAGTGCGCGTGCGTGCCTGCTACCCCCGAGTTCCCGTCCCACCTCCGCCTTCTTCCCCTCCCTTCCGCGGACCCGAACTCTCCAGCTAGCCAGCGTGTGCGTATGAGTTGGGAGTCCTGGGTCCTGTGCCTTTCCCGTGGTGCGTATAGGACGCCCAGGTCGGAAATGGACGCCCCGCGCACATGCTGGCGAGTTTGGCATGAAGTGCCCTCCCCCAGGGACTATCGGCGCCAGGGACTGTCGTCGGAGGCGGGAGACCGGAGACAGGCCCGAGTTCTCCGGGTGAAGAAGGCGGGGCCGTGGTGACAACCACCTTTTGAGGCCACCGCTTGCAGCCCTCTGTGGAGGTTGCACTTCGCTGCTGATGTCAGGAGAGGAAGGAGCGTTTCGAAATCTGGGCGGCCTCCACCCATACCGGAACCAGTGCAGGCCTTCCTTGGCCGACTTCCGGCCTGGCCCAGGGTCTCCATCCCTGGTCTTTTTGGGTGGTGAGTCAGCATCTGTCAGGAGCTTGGTTAAGGCTGATCCTCTGGCCTCACTTTGTAAAATGACTGGATCGCTCAATGTACCTGAACTGTGCCTTCAGTTCACCCCTGCAGGTCTGCCTCCTTTCTGAGTCCCTGGGCTGGGAGGCCCCTCACTACACTACCCTTGTGGCCAGGTGGCTCCTGTGCCATCTGGGATCACAGTAACGCCACCCTCTGACATCCTAGAGTCTGCAGCAATTCAAAGGCCTCAAAGCTCTCAACTCAATACCAGGGCCTCAGACATTGCTCCTGTGCCCTTTGGCATTGTTTTCTCACCCAAATCTAGCCCCCTGACTCAGGCCTACCATCTCCCGATGTCTGTGCCTTGAATACAACTCCCTGCAGCCTTAAGTAACATCACTTTCTCAACCCCCTCCCAGGGTCCAACTGCTGCTGTCCCCCCAGCACCCTGGTGCCACTTCCAGGCCCACATCTTACTAGCCACCTCTGGACTCAGGTGTCTGAGTGATCCCACTCAGCATGTCCTGAACCAGAGCCAGCTACGTTCACTGTTTCCTCCTTAGCTCTCTGCTTCCTAGCTGTCCTATCTGTGGACCTGGTCATCTAGTTCTAACCCCAAGTGCCACCCTGGCTTCCACCTCTCTCCTGCTCATCCCATGTCACCTCGATTCATCTCTTCCTCCCCCACCATCCTGATGCCACCTCTGACCTGGGCAGAGCAGTATCATCAGAGACTTGCTTTAGTGTTAGCTCTTGTCACCCCAGCCTATCTGGAGTCTTCAGGGCCAGCTTAGAGACGATCAGAGGTCAGGCTCCATGTCCACTCCTGTCTGTCTGGACTTGACCCTAGCCATCCAGGGCTCCCATGGCATGCCTCCACCCACAGTGCTCCTGACAACCAGAGCTCCTTCTCAGCACATGTCGTGCCTGCAGCCTTCTGACTGTTCCTTCTCTCTGATCCCCTCAGCCTGGACAGTGGAGCCCTGACCACTATCAGTGGATAGTGGGTAGCCTCGCACATCTGATCCATTGCCTGGTGGGAGACCAGAGGGCATGCGTGTAGGAGGTGGGATTTGAGCAGAGTCCTCAGCTGAGATGCCTGGTGCTATACGACCCCTCAGGCCTCAGGGACCCCGACTAGGCACAGGCTAAGGATATGGGAGACCCAAAGCTAAGAACCCAGGACTGCAGGTAGTCTACAAGGCAGAGGGTTCAATTTTGGTCACCTATAGGGACAGAGGGTCTTCAGCACAGTATAGGGGTCAGTCAAGCTGGGAGGGTCCCAGTCAGGCCTAGATGTGGCTCCAGGCATGAGTTGTTGGCACTTCCTGCTTGCAGGAAGTTGGCAAGAGACATGCAGCCACCAAGGGCGAGAGGAGGCCGACCCACCCCAAGGAGGGCCTAGCTGTGCAGGCTGACCCTGGATGCCTTCCATTGCTGGTAGAGAGCTGTCTGGATTGCCAGCTGCCTGCCACAAGACCCCATTCCCTCAGGGTCACCGGGCCCAGTAAGAGTCCAATACAGCCAAGGAGTCAGGCACCATTTTTTATAAAAACGCATAGTCTCATTTTCCACTCTTTTAAAATCACATTCAAAAATCGGCAAAGAAACGCACCGGGGAGTGAGATGGGGAGAATATGCCGCCCCAGCCCCGAGGGAGACGGCACCACACACAGTAGCGCGACTGGCACGAGGGGGCATGCGGCGAGGTTGTGCGCTGCAGGCGGGTGGTGGTATGGACAGACACGGCTGGGGACGGACAGCCTAGTGGGGACACACAAACAGTGGGGGGAGAGCTGCTGCTTGCACTGTGCCCCCTGACCCCGGGATGGCTCCAGGCTGGCCTCCAATCCCAGGCAGCGAGGCCCCAGCCCAGCCAGGTTGGTTTGGCACATTCAGAAGTGGCCTTTCTGTGGTCCCTGCGGGAAGGCTGCAGTACTGCATTGCCATGCTGCCACGTGGCCGATGCCCAGTGTCCATGGCGGTGGGGAGCGAGGTGGCTAGGAACACCGGAGTTTTTTCCAAACAATTGGGCCATGGAGGCTAAGTCACTATTGGTGGCCCCTGGGGGTCCAGGGAGACACAGGTCTTTTCCTCTCCCCAACTGGCTGGCATGTAGGACAGCTCGAGATCCACACTGCTCTGGGGTTGCCCACGATGCTCCATGAGGAGCCGAGTGGGGGGATTCCAGTATCCTCCCTGCTCTGAGACCTCCCGTCTGGGCCTCCCAGCCATGCCCGAGGCCCAGGGCTGCCCAGGGCCGCTGCTCTCCTTCCACAGGAAGACACTGGAAGCGGGTGACCCCTATGGGATCAGGGCTGGGGGCAGCAGGATGGGTGGTAGCAGGAGCAGAGGCAAGCGGGGGCCCCTCCCGGGGGCGGGGCTGGGCCAGGCTAGGGCCACAGGATAATCACAATAATTACAAAATAAAACCTTTTTCCGCTTAGCGGGAAAACAAATAATAAAAATCCAACAAAATAAATTAGAGGTTTATAAAAGGCGGGCGGGCGGGCAGGCGGTCAGAGGCCGTTGGCGCTGCCTCGCTGGATCAGCGGCACCTTGCTCAGCTCCACAACTGGCGAGCGTGGCTTGTTCTTCATCTTGGGTACCCGCTGCACCAGCTGCTGGGCCTCCCGGTAGGCATCTCGGAGCTCCTTCTTCCACTGCACCAGCTCAGGGTCGCTCTGCATAGCCCCATACATGGTGTGCGGTCAGATGGGACCACCCAGCGCACGTGATGGCCCACCCGCCTCTGGCCCAGGGCACTCACGTCACACTGCAGCACAAAGTGCTTCCCGCCACGGATCTTTAGCAGCAGACACTTCCGTTCCTTGATCTGTGTCTCCTCCACCGAATGGATCTCCTCCATGGTAAGCAAGCTCTGCTGCAGGGCGGGCACGGGGTGGGGGGTCAGGGCACTGAACAGGGCCCGTCCTCCTCTGCCTCCCCAGCCCTGGGCTCCCCACTCCTTACTGGGGCCTCGCCCTCGCCTCGCCACTCCAGTCGGTTGGGGAACAAGTAGAAGTAACGTCGCTGCCACTGGGTCAGGAAGGGGTTCCCCATCTTGGCCATGTAGCCATGCATGATGCAGTCCTTGCCCAGGGCGTAGTCTGAGCGACAGAGCAAGAGATGGCTCAGCGTCCAGCCCGCCCATGGCTCAGTCCTGGCAGGGTAAGCTTCCACAGCCCCAGATGAGCACCCCCGGCGGCGACCAGTCCTCACCCTCCTCATGGCCTAGCTGTTTGTTTTTCGCCTTCTTGCGGGCCTCCAGCCGATCTGTCTCCGTGTTGATGGTGTTGAACACAGTCTCGGCCACCTCTTGCTGCCACCGCTCAGAGATGGTGAGGGGGAAGTTGCGGTAGAGCTCCTGGTCGCTGTCTAGTAACTTCATCCGGCGGACAGGGCAGGGACACACAGACAGACACATCAGTCAACTGCAGGCCTGCCTGGAGGGGCCCGGGCTGCCTCAGGAACTGAAGGCCAGTAGTCAGATGGGACTGGTGAAGGATCCCCTCCAGGCTCAGGCCAGGCCCAATACCTTGATCCCTTTTGTATCTTCCTCATCAAAGGAGCCGATGTCAAAGGCATCAGCCGCGTTCACCTCGCCTCGTGGGGGGATCAGCGGAGGAGGGTACTGCGAGAATGGGTTGGCATTAGGAGGGGTGGGGGCTGCAGATGGTGCTCCTGGCCCTGGCCCTGCCACCCACTTGGGTACCTTCTGCAGAAACACCATCTGCCAGTCCAGGGAGCGGAAGAAGGGGCTCTCCTTCACCTCCTGGGCCCTGTGGGGAGATGCCTGTCACCTGGGAATGGCCACCGCCCATCAGGGGGCAGAGTCTGGACCACGAGGTAGGTGGGCCCGGTCTCTATCCTAGTAGGGCCATTTCTGGGGAAGTTCCCGAAACCTGTACCTGTTTGCTTTTCTCTGAGCGGGCAGACAGCGATTCCTACTTATCACGCAGGTCTTATGAGTTCTAATACTTGCAACTCTTAGTAAACACTCAAGATACATACAGGGACCGGCGCCCTTGTCTTCCTCCTCCTCCCCTCCTCAGAAGCTGCCAGTGGCTCCAGCAGCCTCACTCTGACAACACTGGGGACGGACACAGCCCTTACCCTCAGGGGACACAGACGATGGTGCACTCACCCTCGGCCTAGGCAACCTAGTCTCCGGTTGACATCTCGCTGCAGAAGCCCCTCCAGCAAGGAACGGAGTTCTGGGGAGAAGGAGTCTGGTAGCTCCACAGCCTACAGGGAAGAGCAGGGGGTCACTGACAGGACCCAGCTCCTCAGTGGCCTTTTGCCCATGAGCTGCCATCCAGGACAGAGCCAATGGCTTCACTACAGAGCTGGCCAATGGCTTTACTATAGGGGGTTTATTGGTGCTAAAGGGCCAGCCCTTGCAGGTGGTCTCTGCTTCCCCCAATCTCAACCTAAATCCAGAAAGTGGCTCACGGTGAGAGGGGTGGGTGAAGAGGGGAGCAAAATAAGGCTCCCCAAGACTGGGCCAACAGGGTGAGGTAGGCTGGGGAGCATAGAGTAGGGTAGGCACTTGGTGGGCTGGTGGAATCAGGGTCCAATTTCCTCCAACCACAAGGGGAGGGATGTGCAAGGCTGTGGCTTAGTCCCCCAGAGGCATGAGTGAGGACCAGAACCCTATAGAGAGACCCCAGTTCTATAGGTGGTCCCCCAAGGGCTCCATCCAGCACTCCTGAATGGGGACCCTGGACTCACTCACCATTGTCAAGGTCATGCGGTCAATCTCGTGCTTGTCTTTGGTCTTGTGCTGCCGAAAGGGGCTGTGCCTGCAAGAGACGGGAACCCACAGTCAGAGGATCAGAGTAGGGAAACTGAGGCAGGCGGAGTACATGCGCCTTGTCCAAAGCCCGGGCTGGGGCTAGCATCCAGGAGTGGAGAAGAACCCCCTTGGCTCCCCCTGCCCACCTGGTGGGGTCACTCACCCCCGAAGCAGCTTGAAGAGCATGCAGCCCAGGGAGAACCAGTCAGCGCTGCTGTCGTAGGCCACACCTTTCTGCAGAACCTCGGGGGCCATGTACCCGTGGGTGCCCCTGTGGAGCAACAAGGCATAAGCAGCTGGGCTGGGGACTTGGGAGGGGGCGTGGGATGCAGGGACAGGGGCGGCACTCACACGCTGGCATGAGGCTTCTTCTTAGAGAAGTCGCAGGCCAGGCCCAGGTCCGAGATGCGCACGTGGCCATGTTCATCCAGAAGGATGTTGGCCGGCTGTGGAGGGAGAGTGTGCACTGTCACCTAGGCACCCAGGACAGGGCCCTGGGTGGCCTGTGTCTTTGCTGCACAGGGTTATTGGTGCTGAGGGGCCAGGCCTTGCGGGTGGTATCTGCTTCCCCCATCCCAACCTAAACCCACAAAGTGGCTCACAGTTGGAGGGGAGGGTGAGGTGGGGAAGAACACAAGGCTCCCTGAGACTGGGTCCGACAGGGTGGGACAGACAGACACCCACCTTCAGGTCTCGATAGACAACAAAGCAGCTGTGCATGTGTTCCAGACCCAGGATGATCTCGGCTGCGTAGAAGCGCATGTCGGCTTCGGAGAAGACCCCGTGCTGGGACAGGTGATAGTGCAAGTCTCCACCTGTGGTGGGGCAGCCCAGGAGGCGTTCAGCTCCCCGCCCTGGCCCTGGCATTCCCCTGGGGCCAGACCACTTAACGGGGACACTCACCGTTCATGAGGTCAAGGATGAAGCTGAGTTTGTCTGGTGTGTGGAACGCATAGGACATGCAGACGATAAAGGGACAGTCCTAGGAGGGGAGGGATCAGCAGAGTGGGCCAAGGGTTCCAGGGCTAGACGCTGCCCCTTACCCAGCTGACCTGGCCCGGCCCCATCCAGCTCACCCCAGTGCTGACGAGGGACAGCATAATTCGCTCGTTTAGCGCCAGTGTCTCTCCCTGCTTCATCTTGATGCGCTTCTTGTCCAGACACTTCATGGCGTACCTGCGTGGGGCAGTGCCGGTCAAGCTGGCCCCCTGCCATGTTGAGCGCAGGCCGGACGGGCCAGGGGCTTTTGTGAAGGAAGCTACACTCCACAAGTTGAGACACATCAGAGACTCAAGGAGAATGGGGGGAGTGCTGGAGGGCCAGGGGCTCTAGGAGCCCCACCCTAGGGCCTACAAGGGGGACACTGCCCAAACAGAGGAAGGAGGGACTTGTTATTGGGAGGGAGCAGCGTAAGGGACGGCACAGGGGCCTGCACAGAGGAGACACCTGCCTGCCTGGTCAGAAACTAGCCCTACTACCTGACACTGATCCCTCGAAGCTCTTCCCATGGGTGCCCTGCCTTCTCAGCACCCCCAGAGGGCCCTCCCTGCCCTGACACACCCCACCAAATGCCACAGGGCAGGACACTCACATCTTGCCCGTGTCGGCCTTCCGGCACCCATAGACCTCGCCGAAGCCGCCTCGCCCAATGATGCGGTGAACGCTGAAGTCGTTCATGGTCAGCTGTGGAGGAAGGCAGAGAGGAGTGACCACCAGGGTCCCTATAGGCTGCCACTGATGGGTCCTTCCTGGGTAGCAATGGCCAACCTGCCGGCACTGCTCCCACCAGGACCCTGGAGCCAAGCCCACCCCTGGGGAGCCCTGGGCCCAAGAGACAGAGTGCTGGCACCGCACATCCACCCCACTCACATGGATGTTGAGCTCCACGTTCTTCCACTGGCAAAACCGTGTGAATTTATCGCTGTAAGAGAGCATGTCCAATCAGATAAGCCTCGGGAAAGGGACACAGTGGTGCGGGTGGAAGCCTGCCACCTCAGCTGCCAGTCCAGGTACCCCAGGCCTAAAGCAGGCTACTTTTGCTCCTCCTTTCTCACAATGCCACCTCCTCCCTGCTGCCTCTCTGCCCTGTGCCTAGCACTCACCTCTCGATGAATTTCTGGAACACATCCCCTCGGAGGTTCTGACAGATCTCTTCTATATAGGGCTGATAGAGAAAATCAGAAGTGGATGAGCCCTGGGTGTGGTCTGGGCCCTTTCCCAGGAGTGGCCCTGGCTGGTTTCAGGAAGGGAGGTATCACATACCTGGAAGAGGTCTGGTGGCACCTGCTTCTTCACCAGGTGGCCCTGAACGTGCTCAGTAGCACTTTTTGAGAAGGGCTGAGGAAGACAGAGGGCTGTGAGTCCTCCGGGGTTCACTCTCCCCCTCCCCGGCCCGCCCCTGACTGAGGAGACTGACGTGTGAGCAGGCCAGAAGCTCCTTCATGATGTACACATCGAAGATCTCCCGACTCCTCACCAATCGCTCCTCCTCTGTCTCCAACTTCTCATATCTCTTGATCTAGATGACCAGATTCCCTCTGGTGGTCTTGGGCCCCAAAACGTGGACCCCCACCCCTTGCCCAATAACCCACCTAGCGCCAGGTCACCCCACAGCATGCCCCCCACCAGCCCATCCAGCCTGGGGTCCCCTTTCACCTCCTCGTAGAACTCCACCAGGGGCTTGGCTTCCTCCAAGTGGTTTAGACAGAAGTCTCGGAAGAGCAAGTACCCTGAAAGCAAGCAGTGGGTCACACGGGGTCATACCCCCTTCATAAGCAGGGCCTGGAGGCAGGGGGCCAGAGTCTGCCCAGAACAGTCTACCCCTGGAGGGTAAATAAGAGCTGAGGGGCGCCCAGTAACTTCCCATGCCTCCTGGGCTGTGTCATGGGCCCAGCCTTTACTGCCTGGTACCTCAGATGGTCGTCATATCGTGTCTCAAGACCGGGGCTTTGAGTTACTTGTGAACAGGGCTTCCCCAGGGGCTGAGACAACACACCCCCACCCAAACCTCCCACAGTTGCTGGGCTGAGAGTCCTTTTTCTGGATGAGGAAACTGTAGGGCTCAGAGAGGGGAGGCAACTTGTTCAGAGTCACACAGCACAGGCCTGGGACCCAAACTGCTCCTCAAGGCTAACCCCAGCGCCTGGGCCTCCCAGACAAGGCCAGACCCTCGGGTTCATGGAACCAGAGTCCTTCTCGGAAGGCTGGATCCTGTTCCCCTGCGTGTCCCCTGCGGGAACTTCTTTCCGGCAGGGGGCGCCAGGAGGAGGAGGTGGTGGGGCAGGACAGTGGGAGACCACAGCTCCGGGCAGGCGCCACAGGAAGGGCCCCGCCCCTTCCTGTCAGTTCCAACAGCGGAGCAGCTGTGGCCTGGGCCAAGGGGAAGTGGGGACTCAAAAACAAAACCCTGAAGGAGGAACTTCCCAGGCGGCCTGGAAGGCTGCTGGCCCCACCCCCACAGGGCTCCCGAGGCCTGAAGCCAGGGGCGGGGAGGTGCGAGGTCACAGAGGAGGCCAGAGTCCTCGGTACCAGTACCGGTACCAGCAGGGCTAGCTAGAGGTGTGGGTGGGAAGCTCAGGGCGCCCTCCTACTTACCTAACTTCTGGGAGAAGATCTTTTCAAAGACCACCTCACCCCGGTCCTCCAGGTACTTCTGCATGACGCTGCGGATGCTGAGAGATAGGAGGCAAGGTGAGGAGAGCCCAGGAGTCCCGGAGCTGTAGGCCCCTGCCACCTGTCTAAAGACCACACGGCACACCAGAGTCCTGTCCTGTATCCCCCCACCCCCGCGAGCTAGTGCCTGCCTGTCACCAAAGCTCTGCCCAAAGCTGCCAAGACCGGTCCCGGAAGCCCACAGCTCGCAGAAGTCTGGTCCAAGCGCTACGGCGTGCCGGCTTTGGGAAATTAGCCAAATTCCCAAAGCCAGGACCACTGGTGAACGGATAAACAGTGTGGCCCATCCATACAGTGGCGTATCATTCGGCCATAAAAGGGAAGGAAACACTTGAGATGTGCCATGACATGGGGAAGTTCCTCGGAGACACAATGTTTGAAAGAAGCCAGTCACCAAGGAGCTTAGACTGTTGGATCCCACTCCTGTGAAGTCTAGCCAATCTACAAGCACAGAATGCACACTGGTAGTTGTCAGGGGCCAGGATGGGCAATGGGGTCTGAATGCTAATGGGTTTGGGGTTTTGGGCCAGGCTGAGGTCCATATTCTGGCATTACAGTGGTAACGGTTGTACAGCATAGTGATTATACTGAAAGCCACCAAGGGCCACACTTGAAAATGGTGAATCCTCTGTGAATTATATTTCAGTATTAAAAAGGCCAGACCTCAGCTCTCTTGTCTCTTAATGTCTAGTCAATTGGATTCTGACTCACAGCGATCCCATGTGTTGCAGAGCAGAACTGCACCATGTGGTACCTTGGCGGTGATCCTTACACAGGTAGCTTGCCAGGTATTTCTTGCATAGCAGTAGTGGTTGGGTTCCAACCACCACCCTATACAATAGTAGTTGAGGCAAACCATTTGGGCCACTAGGGTTTCAGAATGTATAACCCTCCAGCTCTCCAGGTTTGGGGCGTGCCACTGAGGAGTGGTTTGCCATATGACCACTGAGGCCCAAACTCCCTGTCATACACACACACCCACCACTGAACGAACTTTGGGCCTCAGTGGACACATCTGGCTTTCACTAGCCTGGACTTAGGGCCCACATGGAAGGTCGTCATCAGGCCCCAGGGGAAGGGAGTAGTCAGTGGTCAGAAAGCTCCCCAAGCAGAGGCAGGACTCAGGTCCTGAAGTCGGTGCCCTCTGCTCCGAGCATGGTCCAGTCTCTCCACACTCCTGCCCTCACCTCCGGGGCCAGCCTGGACACACGGGCTCCAGTGGCAGAGCCTGGCCGGGTGCCATTCTATGAGAATGGCCCTGCCCCCTAAACGGGTGCTCCCAGGTTCTGTGATGTTAAACAAGGTGCCAGCCACCTAGTTCCTAGAGTACAAAGAAGATGCCAACAGGTGGTGGACAAGCAGGAGGTGGCCTGGCCAGAGAGTTCAGGGGCCACCTAGCCCAGGAAGGAGTGGACAGACTGCCCTAGAGGCACTCATGGCGGGAAGAGCAGGCCAATGAGGCCCCGGGCTGGGCTAGGATCAGCTGTTCAGATGGTTAGGGAAGCAGCCACAAGGCCTGCTGGAGGGCAAAGCCTCAGAGGCTGTGGCCAGGAGTCTGGAGGAACGGCGGCTCCGGGGTCAAAGGGGGCCGAAGGCTCTAAGAGGGGATGGGGTGCTGCCCTCTCCACTCAGTACTTTCCTTCCGAGAAGGTCCGAGGGAGAATCCCAGGGTTCAAGCCTTTCTCAAGAAAGGGCCACAGACACAGTTGCTGTCGTCAGCACAGCCCCGAGGCTGTGACCCCGCGGGGTTTGTGTGTGTGTGTGTGTGTGTGTAAATAAATGACTTTGTGTAGAGCTGAGTCCAACAGGAAGACTGGTGACCATGACCATCCTTGGTGAGCTGTGCATGCCCACCCGACAACTCTTTCAGCCTTGACCCTACCTACTGGGTCTACAGCTTGGCTGCTCCGCTGAGATAGCAAAGCCACCCTCTGCTTTCCAGCCAGCTTTGTCCACTCTGGTACGCCTTCCCCTGCTGGTGCCACACACCAGCCAGACCTCATGGGATGCTTGGAGACACAGGGAATGGAGGACAGATGCCTGGCTTGGCCCAGGCATCCGGCAGCTTCTCCCATGATGCTTCATGCATGGCAGGAGCTTGGAGAGATGGAGCCCCACACTCTCCTGCCTCAGGGCTCACTGACTGGAGAGTTGGGTCCTGATGGCCCACCCTTAGCTCTGTGCTCCAAAGCTGGGAGTCCCAGCTCCCCATGTATCAGTAGGGGACTGAGCAGTACTGGGGACGGGCACCTGGGCTGAGTGGAAAACTGTGAAGATCCTGGTTACACACAAGTGGCTCTTGCAGGAGACCAGGCAGAAGGTGCAAGGTATAGAGCCCAGGGACCAGCCCTGAGGTGGTCTTCAGCTGGACTACACCCTCTCCCCTTATCTCCCTGCTCTAACTCTCAATTGGGCCCCTGGGTGGGGTTGAGATAAAGTAACAGGAGGGAAAAGAGCACAAAATGTCAACCTGCCCTGAAGGTGCCTGGTCTAAGGTAGATAAGGTGAAGCAGTGATGGGCAGTGTCACTGGCCAGATGCAAGCCCATCTCACAGGGAAGGCCCCCCAAGTCCTAGACTCCCTTCCTGGGCCAGGGCTATGGGGTGGGTCAGCCCACCAGGTAGGATAGCCTACCAGAGACCAGGGAGTACTGGGACTGGGACCTGCCTAGGCTGGAGGCAGCTTCTCGGCCCTGCCTCCATTCCTTCCAGGCCCCAAGCACGCACTCTTCCTTAAAAATAAAAATGTTTTTAAAGGAAAACAAATACTCCCCGCTCCAAACCAAACACGAGGTCAGGCCCATGCAGAGTCCTTGAATGGGTGAGGTCTCCAGAGTGACAAAGCTGGGGTTTCCTGTCTATCCCCAGGGGCCCTCCAGCTAAGGGACTAGACAGATTGGAAAGCCATCTTGCTAGAGGATGCTGCGGTAGCAAGACCTGGCTAGCACATATGTGGTAGGGCCTCCTGCTGGGTCCCCTTTGTGTCAACACCCTCTGGCAGGGTCAGAGAAGCAAGAATTGCAGGGGCCACATCCCCAACCCCCTAGTGGGTCAAGCACTCCAATATGATGAGGGTGTGCCTCTGAAGATGGTTCTGGAATTTTGAGAAGCAAATGCAGGAATATTCCTAGGAGAGGGCCCAAGCCTCTCGCCCTCTGACCTGCAGCCACCAAGTACCCGCTCCTGGCTTCCTGCTGGGCTCGCCCCGCCTCCCACCCCAGGAGGCAAAGCTGGCCACCAGTTTTAAATGTCTAGTTTCCCCATTTGCAAAATGAGGATGTTGACAAAATGCTGAATTGCCCCAATGCAGTGGTTATTTAAGAAGCCAGAACATCCTGAAGTAGAAGAGAAACACCTCAAAGACACCAGGTTCTATAAGAAGAGACGCCTGACTAGATCCCACAGTCCCCAGATGACAGCGCCAACCCTTTTAGAACATGGTCCTGTGCCTGAGGACTTGTCAGGGCTCTGCCCCACACCTGTCACTTTCTCAGGGCCTGAGCCCTGTTTGGGACACACACTGAACCAAGCTACCTGGCTACAGTTCCACTCTGCTCAGCCCTACCTAAGCTCCTGCTACCAGGAGGCCCTGAATCCTTGCCTCACAGGGCTGTGTGCCTGGGCTCAGTCACGTGTCAGAGGACTAGGCCCAACACCACCTTGCATGTGTGCTGATGTGAGCCCCCCGTGTGTGTTCTGTGCACAAGGCCTGGGGTGACAGGACAGCAGGCAGGGAGAGGGCTGAGAGGATCTTCCAGTCCCTCTGGTAGAAAAAGCCGAATCCCACGCTCTGTGGTGTAGTGGACTGGTGCATTGGTCTGGCCCCCATGGGTGACCCCACTCAGGCCAGAACTGGATCTAGTGTGGCTGGAGGGGAGCCTCGGGAGCCATTTGAATAGTGAGGAAATGGAGGCAGGAAGACGCTGAGCAAGCCACCCAGTGTCCCACCGGTGGGTTAGTTATTGTTGTTATGTGGGGTCGGTTCCAACTCATAGTGACCCTGTACAGGGTTTCCGAGGCTCTTTACGGGAGCAGAAAGACTCATCTTTCTCCTGCGGAACCGTACTTTCAAACTGCTGACCTTAAGGTTCACAGCCCAATTTGTAACCACTACGCTACCAGAGGTCCTTGGGTTAGTAGCCAAGGGAAAGCTCAGTTATACAGAGGAACAGTCTCTCTCTAGGCAGGGTTCAGGGTAGAAAAGCTGAAAAGGGGTCTCATAAGGCCCCAGCCGGGGCTCCCTCCCCACAGTGGCCTGGGGGCCCATCAGCCTGTGGCCCCATCCCTGCTCTCTTTTTATGGTGATGTTAAACCCTGGAGAATATGAGCTAGGTCAGGCAGCCAGGATGGGCACCACCATGCTTTGGGAAGTGACAGTTCACAGGCCAGTGAGCAGAGCTGTGGCTGCCGCTGAGGTCTTCTATTGTGGTATTTCCAGGAAACCTGACACCAAGGTGGCAGGAGGAAGTCCCCTGGGGCCTCTTATTAATATTTCCCAATGACTCTCCCTGGGGCCAGCAATGTCCTCAGAGCTCAAGGACAGGGCCACATTCCAACAGAAAGACCAACCCAGACTACCAGGCCCTGAGCAGAGCAAGGCAAGGGTGAGAGGAAGAATACCCACTCCTTCCCACAATGCACAATGCTAGCAGCAACCAGGACCCGAGACCAGCGCTGAAGCTGCAGGGGACCAGGCACTTGGGTGGCCTGTCATGTGTCTGGGTTCCTGAATGAATGTGCCCTGAGCACTCCTACCCTGCGATTACAGCCAACAGGAAACCATAGCCTACTTATCCCATTGGAAGTACTGAGCCCAAACTCCCAGAACCCCTCGCCCTGTGGTTTGATGAGGGGAGAGTCTGTCCTCCCACTAAGATAGTTTCCAGGGACACAGACCCTTCCCCCTTCCCCTGTGTCTGTAAACAGAGCTGTTAACACCCAACACCGGAAAATCCACTTCTGCAAACATGCTCTCTGCCAGCACTCTGCCCTTGCAGGAGGCACGATGCTCGATGCTGAGGATGTTACTGCTTCAGCAACTCGCTGCAGCCCAACCCCTCACTTTCAGCATCTCGGATTTAAAATAGATGGGCCCAGCAAAGGACACAGCACCCCCCCCAGGCCTGAGTGGATGGGGAGGAGGGCCTGGTAGAAGGGGCAGATGGGATGAAACTGGTCACGTGCTCTTCTCTTCCCCCTGCTGTTTGTTCAGAAGCAGGAGCAGCCATCCGGCATGCCCTGCACAGTTCCCCAGGCCCCTTCTGCAGAGCAGACCTGGGAGCACGGAGAGGGAGGCGATGCTGGGAGCCTGCGGAGTGTGCCTGAGCCCGACTGCACCTGACGTCACTGGGAATTTACTACGAGGCTCAATTGTGCATTAATAGGATGCATTATTCCCGGGCTGACAGAGCCCAGATTCCCCTGCATGGATTCCACCCCAGGGCTCTGCTCCCTCCAAATCCATTAACCAAGGGAACAGCGGGCGGCCGAGTAACTTAAAGGCACATCTGTGAACCGCCTGGCTCTGGAAGGGAGAAGGGAGAGCAGATGGGAAAAGGCAACCCAGAGACCCATTCCTGGGGTGCGGCTGTGGCCTGAGGGAGTGACTTCTGACAAGGGGATAATCGGGTTTGAGGGAGCAGGAGGGAGGGAGCTATCGCTGCTACTGGCGTGGAAAGTTCTGGGGGAGGGAGGAAAGCTTGGGTGGAGGAGGGAGGGGGAAGGCAGGGAGGAAGAGCAGTGGGTCTCGGCGACAGGAAGGAGGAAACACATGGTGGGGGAGGGACCAGGAAACAGTCTAGAACTCTAGAACTTGGGGCTGTAAGAGGCTGCTGGGGACGCCACCATCCTGGGAGACACTCTGCTCTCTTGGGGCACCCAGCCGGGAGCTCAGAGTGCAATTATAGGAGGCCTCCGCGGTCATATTAGACAAATGACAATAATTACAGGCCTGTTGTCACTGGCAGAAAAAGGGAGAGCCAGGCTTTCGGCAGAAGTACAGGCAAAGCACTGGAGGGCAGCTGAGAGGTCACCCCATCGGGAGCAACAGCCTCCCCCCAGTTTGCAGAGGTGGAAATTGAGGCAGGCCTGCAGGGAATAAGGGTCTTGCAGGGAGATTACAAGCCAGGTCTCCAGACTCCCAGCTATAGGAAGGTCAAGAAACGAGTCCCTGTCGCTGGCTTCTATAAGGAGACAGAAGGGGAGGCTTCTGTGTCAACTGAAAGTGGCCACGTGCCCACCATGAGAGCTGTGAAGCCAGGCTCAGGACCCAGCCCTGGGGAGGCTGCCAAGATGGATCTCCCTGAGAAGGGAATGATTCCAAACAGCACTGTGTAACGAACATGGACCAAGGTCCTCCTCCCTGACTCTAATCTCCCAGGGAAGGGGGAACCCTGTGTCTGTGAGACACCTGGCAAAAAGGTACCTCCTCCATGCCCAGCTTGCCCTAGGGCAGCTCAGCTATCTCAGCCCCAGTTCCCAGTCGACCGTGGGGGGGTGGTGGTGTTGGGTCCCACAAATCTGTCCAGCTGAAGGCACAGGGGCTATCTTGCTTCTTCCAGACTATTGCCCCAGACCCACAACTCTCAAACTAGGGATGCTAGCCGGTATGGTCCATACAACGTAGACACAGGTGAGAGAAATGTTTGGGGGTGAGCAGAGAAGGAAAGGAACACTGGCCCGGAAGTCCAGAGACCTTAGTTCAAATCCTAGCTCTTCCCTGTGTTCACGTCTCTCTCCCTCTGAGCCTTCAGCTATTCACTGGGGAGATAAACACTTGTTGCATTTACTTCCCACCAGCGGAAGAGAAAAAGATCATTTGGTGTCAGGGATATACCAGGCACACATGAACTACAGTCAAATCACTGCCAAGGGTCAGGAGGCATGGGACTAGAGTGTTATCCCATGGGGATGTCCGGACTCCTAGGATGGCCTCCAGGTTGGCTTTGCAGGGCAGCTCCCAGCCCTTCCCTGGATGTTGGATGTTGGTGCTTTCCCATCTAGAGCCTCTGGCCACTGGCCACTTCACAGGTGCGGGGATGTGCCCTGTGTTCTGCTGCCAGATGGAGTGGATATGAGAAGCCACAGTACCCAGCTTCTGCCTCCGGCTACTCCGCTAACACAGCCTGTCTGGTCTCCACACAGGAACAGGTAAGCCGCCGGAATGCAGCTCACTGGTATTTCTGGAGCAACTACTACACGCGAGAGGCACACACCTCGTCAATTTCACAGGTTGGTTTTTTTGGACCAACTGAGATGACAAGCTATCACAATCGGTCCCAAGTGATTATCACTTCTATCCTGCTGTTGATCACCACCATCATCACCACTCTGGACAGCACAGGAGATAGGAAAAGAATAGCTGGTTTCTCAGGCTCCTAACACCTGCAGGGCCAACCCAAGGTGGGGCCACATCACCAGTAATGCTTTCTGGGGCAGGATTACAGAGAGTTCCAGAAAGGGTTCCACCTCACGCTTCAAAGAACCCCATCCTGTGGGAGAGTCTTGAGGCCTCAGCCACTGAGAAGAGCTATTCCAAGTCCTTGAGGTTGTCCCCACCCCCGCCCCCTGCTACTTCCTCCCTCATGGCTTTGTCATTTCTGAACTCATGTTGTTCTAACCGTCTCAGCTCTCTGGACAGTCCCTAGCTAATAGTCAGTTCTAGTTCCTGTTTTGAGAAATCTGATTGCAAAGGTCTTAGAAAATTCAGGGGAGGCTCAAGCCCATCAGCCGCTCCTTGAAGACCCATGAGGCTTTCTGCTTGTGCAAAAATTGACAGCCTTGGAAACTCTATACAGAGTTTCTTTGAGTCAGAATTGACTCGAAGGTGTTTAACAACAAGGGCTTTTACAAAGCGCAGGCCTGGTTTCCCTCTGACTTCCAGGCTTGCTATGAAACCCAGCAAAGAGGTCAGGGCAGAGAGTGTCTCCTACAGCGCCTGAACCACAGCCCTCATTTCACGGATGAAAAAATCGAGGCCCAGACACAGGAAGGAACTTTCACAAAGTCACAGTAGGCACGTTCCCAGGCACGTATGGACTGGCCACCTAATACAAGAAACGGTGGGCAAACAGGTCTGCTAGCAGCAGTATGTCCAGGCCATGGACGGAACGCAGAGTGGAAGCTAGACCCCTTGAGTTGACTTCACCTGTATTACCTGTGCAGCAAGCAGGCCACTCACCTCTGGAGTTTCTGTGTCTGCACCTGTCCTACATGGACGGAGCCACACCTGTCCTACCCACCCCACAGGCTGCTGGGAGACGGAACAATGCGACAACCCTCTGAAAGCTGGGCAGCCCCAGCCCTGGTGTATCCTGCAGCAACATCCTGAAAAGTTTTAAACTTTGATACCAAGCATGGTGAGCTCAGCTGTCTCACAGAGGTGGCACCACTGGCCCAGGTGCTGAGCTACCCCCTAGAAAACATTCACCAGGGCAACAGGAACCACCAGGGGAGCCCGCACAGCTCACCTAAACACATATCCCTCGTGCCCTCCCCCCCCCCACATATATACAACCTGTCCCAGAAACACTACCAGCTCCAGCCCCAGCCCCAGCCCCAGGGTGGTGGTCTTGAGAGGAGTGGGGAAGAGCTCCTGGAAGGGGTTCTAAAACTTGTGGCTCCCACCCCAACCGGCATGGGTGGAGGAGAGTAAGAGGGTGTTGGGTGTAGAGATAGCCTTTCAAAGCATGGGTGATCGTCATGTCCAAGCAAATGGAGACAGGCAAAAGGGGCTCCGGGGTCCACCTGCTGCTCAGAGGACGATGAAGGGGAGACGGCAGGAGTGCGGGGCTGACTGGGATGGAGGGACCACGGGGCGCGCCTGGGGAGACTGTGGGGCTGGAAACCCGGGGTGGGGGGGGGGCGGCCCGGGGCTCAGGTGCACGGGGCCTGGGGACTCGGCCGGGACTGCTCTGGGCTGGTGGCCCGGGGGCAATGGCAGGGCAGAGGGGACCTGGGGGCCAGTGTAGGAGTGGTTTGGGGCGGCGGGTCGGGGTTCCGGGTCGGGACTCGGGATAGCGGAGGGACGAGGCAGGGGCGCCCGACGGGCCTCACCTGGGCTCGGGCAGCAGGATCTTCTTGCTGGCGCGCGCGGCCGGCGTGGCCTTGCTCTTCTCCATAGCCATCAGGTAGCTCACATCGGCCAGCACCGCCTCCAGGTCCGCCATCTTGGCGGCGGCG